TCAGAAACACACTGGATAAAAAATTAATGAATTTTGTTCTTCAATTATATATCAACAGAAGATGTACAAAACAAGATATCGGGACATGTTATACACCCGACATAATCAAATTATAACCTAACCTTGCAATTATAAAGCGCTTAATTACAAATGGTGGTCCTGATCCTAATATTTGATTGCTGATTCAATCAAATATCAGAGTTAGCAGATTCATTGGACCACCTGGAAATCAATATGCACAAAACTATTGACGATATGTGATCTGAGTTTTTTTAAAATTACTTTTTCAGATTATGTTTTATTACAGTCAGTCTTGAAATCATGTTCAAATTTGTCAAAATCTTTTACAGTTTGAGCAGGTCATATGCTAACCCGCTCCAAATTCTTCACATAAGCATTATTAATGAAGTGCCAGTGCAAAATAACCGAAAGTTGTAAACGAGAATGATCATCTACTTAGTGGATCAATTGCAATCTCTGCTTGAAAAGAGGAGAAGCGAAGTGATACACTCTGCCTAAATAACATAAAATATTCTTAAATTTTATACAATAAAATAAAAATAATGATGATAAAATTATCATTAAATTATATTAGGACTTGTTAGTTGATTCTTTCAGTTCTCAATAAGCAACATAACTCAACATAAGGTAATGAGGTAATAGTAATAAGGTAATAGTAATGAAGAAGCAATAACAAAAATTTGATTAATTTATTGAAGTTTGGTTGACCGTATTACGCTATTTTGAGTATTGCCAAGTACTGTTAAAAATTGGATATGATAGAAAATATATATTGTATAATTATATTCATAGTTGGGTTGGTATGTATTGTTGATAAAGTCATTTTAGAGTTAAAGATTCTGTGTCAGGCTTTAGTTTTTGTTTTAAGATTTCTGCTGAATAGAGTTTTTTATGTAGGGCATATATACATGTTCGTTTTTTATGGCAAACATATGACATATACAATAAATTTTTCTAAATCCCTTCATGGTTCAATAAGGAACCAACAAAATGAAAATATCTCAAATAATAATTTGATTAAAGACTACAAACAAAGGTTGAAATTAAGTGGATATATAAATAAACTTACCACCTGAAGTGCCAATTACTGGAGCCGTAGTTGTTGTCACCGAACTGGGATTAGCAAATGTACGAACTTGTGGGCGAAAATTGAATTTCGCACCGGAAGCTTTGGCACCCAAAGCTATATTCTCCTGATGTGATTTACCACTGCGTAGTACAATGTAAACCTATTGCGTGAAGAGGAATAAAGTTAAATTGGTAAAGAGATTAAGAACAGTTCAAACTGCACGAACCAATTCAATGTGAGTTATTAAATTATTTTATTAAATTATTGTTTTTCAGACTAACTTACCTTACTGCCAAATATTAAAGCCAACAATAGCGTCACAGTCAATTGTGTATGACAGAAAAATATGATGTAAAGCAAATCTGGATTGGCAGGCGATTGCAGGAAAAGCCTGTAAAAGCAAAAAATAATTCCAATGAGAATGACTGATATATCGTATATGCGCGTTATATGGGTCTTTGTTTTTTTTTTGTGTTCTTTGAACGAAACAATGTCAACGTAAGTCAATGTTTTTGTGGAGGTGCTTATGAATGGATTTATTTTGGACTTACATGGAAACGTTCAGAAAACATGTCAGCAAAAATTCATTGTAAATAGCCATCGAAATAAATCGGCTTTCATTGAATTCCGATGGTGCTTTCCGTACCATAATGCACAAGCGTACACCCCATGCCAGGAACAAAACCTCCACTGCAAAGGATAACATTAAAATTAAGTCAGAAATTTAAGTAAAATTATTTTTTTATAAAATCTCGTTGAAAATATGTGGAAAATTTTATCGTAGGGACATAAAAAAATGATTCGAGCAATGTTTAAAAGTCAAATTAATGAAAAAGTATGGTGAAACGTTGCAGGCGTGAAAACATGCAAGAGCGACTTTGTTTAAAGTTCTTTAATAATAATTAAAATGCTATTATATAATGTATTTTATATAATATGTGTTTTCAATGAAATTTCATTAAAAGTTAAGCGAAATTCTCTGCCGGTTTAAGTTTAACAGAAAACTCGTGCTGTAATTACGCCAGTAAATGGGTTTAATTATTTTGCAATTACTTTAATTCGTTTCCGTGCTAAAGTTGGTGCTACACAGATGATATCATCTGAGTGAAATTAACCAGCTGAGTATGTAATTAATCAAATGTGATAAATCTTAAATTTCATAAAAATTATACTTGAATAAAATATGGTTATAACTCCTCTTACTCGGTCCTCTATTGTTGTACCAGTTTGGTAAGGATTGATATTATCAGACAGTACGATGCAAGAACTATGGGATTATGACAATTCGAGTAATTTATTAATTTTAATTAATTATAAAATAAGAATTTGTTATTAATTATCTTAATCAGCAGATATTAAAACTGTATAATTGATTTTTAATACCTTGAAATTCACAGTGATTCAAACAATTTAACTATATCAGATTTCTATCTTGTGTCTACTGTATCAAATTTTTAGACTTTCTTTTACAAGCTGTGATTGTTTTTGAAATAGATTAAATTGAAATATAACAAAATAAATGAATATGGATGGATAAATACTGTACTATTTATTTTTTGATTCCTTGAAATATACAGTGTTTGAATTAATTGAACCATATCAAATTTCTGTTTAGTGTCTATTGTATCTAACTTTATGATATTCTTCTCAAAGTAGACATTTTCTTTAATTATCTTTATAATTTATTATAAATTGTAATAAAACAAAATTTAGTATTATTATAGATATATTTTTGAGTTGCAATAACGAAGTTCAATTTATACAGGGTTAAGCGACTGAAGTGATACTAACTACACACAGGTTAAGTAATTTAATAGATACATTGTATATAAAATATACACATTTTTGAGTTGCAATAACGAATTTTAATTTAAATAATAAATTCCAGGGCATTATATCATGATTTTGTTTATATACAGGGTTAAGCGATTGAAGTGTTACCAACTAGACACATGTATATCTGTTAAACTAATATTGCCAACTATATGAAATATATACGAATCACAGTTGTTAATATTGCGTTCAAACTACCAGAAGCATTTGCGTCACGTCCAAGTTTTATAGAACAAAAGTTTTACGAAATGATCGAAAATCACAATCACAACCAGCTATTATAAATGAGCTTAAACACCTCAAAGTGAATAAATGTTTGTATATTGTACCATATATTTTTATAATAATACAGAGTGCATACCGATCTGGAAATGCTATGATGGAGAACGAAAAAAAATGTCAACAGCACTTGAAATGTTTCAAAAATTTGAAGGCTTGACTCGAATGAAATCCACGTCGTAGTGGCAATGAAATGGCCAAAGAAATGAAAATATTTCAGTGAAGCATCCGTCGCATATTCTAAAAAGTTAGTATAGTTTCAAAAGGCACAAGATCTTACACTAAAGGGTTATTATGTGCTTAGTAACGTTATTTAGTATAAGTACTGGTGAAGAACCTCCGGTGAGAGTTAACGCGACATCGTGAATTTTTTTGAAAGAAGTTAGCAAGTGCCAGCTAAAACATTTTAATGATGGCATATTCATCGATAAAATTAATGATATCTAAAAATGTATAACCTAAAAATTGTATATCCACTTCTTCTTCTTCTTATTTGGCAATACAGTTCAGTGTGAACCTTGGCCTCC